TGTTGCAGATGTTAATATGAATGTTTATAAAAATTCAAACAGCACTTTCTGTTTCAAATAGAGAACATTTTAGCAAATACATTTTTAAATGAACTGTTTTCTTAAAATAAATCACGATAACACTTTACTTTAGAAACGCTCTAAGTAATATTAAAACTATGAAATTCATCGATATAGTCGGGAAGGATATTATGAATGAATCGTCATTAGTATGGCAGATTCGATTTGTGCTTGAAAGTCACTGTTCCCTCCATGATTAAATTAAGTTAAGAATGTTGACTTAAGAGTTCAGGGCATCCGAATTGGAGCAGTTGATGAATAATGAATGTATTGTATACGTAACGAACTTTTTGTTTATTCTGACTTTTCAGATACACAAAAATTTGTCCTGTTAAAAATTAATGTATTCGTATAGATATGAATAAATTATATAAAAGTCCATACTAAAGCGGGAATCTCTAATTGGAGTTTAGCTGAATACATAATTCACGGACCATCATAGTCAGTAAAATTTAAAATATGAGAACAACACACTTTTAGCTGCTATATTAAAATATGTATCATTTGTAAATGGAGTTTGTATAATTGTGACAGAAATGGTATGTTGGAGGTAATATTTATCAGTCTAGGCTTAGTGCGGCGTTGAGTTTAACAGGACCGTAGTCAGATTACGATTGAAAATATTAATGTTTACAGAAAATATATCGCATCATAGTACTATTACCAAAGAGCAAGGCTAAGTAGAGGATAAAATACCTATATAAATTTAAATGACACCACTTACCATATAAACCTTAGTGTTGAGACAAGGCTTCCGTGGCATATTGAAAGGAGTTAAACGCCTATGAAACTCATTACATTTTATTGCTAGGCGTTTTTATACATGTTCAACTGATTTCGGACAGATTATAAAATACATTTAAATAATATTTGTTATATTTTCTTGCCAAGTACTTCTTGTATCATCCAAACAGTCATATATCATAGATATATTTTAAAAAGTAATAACTAAAAAATTGACTAACGAAATGAAGAGAAAATTGAAAATACATCAAGTTTTGACAAACAAAACGAAAGTAAACAAATCCACCATCTACTTGTTAGTATTTATGTTGCACATGATATATTCGCACAAATAAATAACTGGTTCATATTGCAACGAAAATAAATATATGAATTTCATATAAAATGTTGAATGTTTAAATAGAAATTTATGATCACTTATATTGTTTGCCAATTTGAGTCTAGTATGAAAAATTTCTACATATTTATGCGTTTATATTTACTTATTTATAGAATCATCTGTACGAGAACTCACGCTGCACATGTGCTGGTTTGAAATGCAACCTTTTGTAGGTTTGATTTTAATATTTTATTTGTGAAATATCCAGTAACTGCATAAACGGAAAGAGTATTATTGGAATCTAAATTTTAAATCTGGTGGAAACGTTTATATAAATTGTCCACAGATACATTTCCCAGAGGCTTGCAACGTATTGAACGGTTAATAGTACAAAATCAGGTGCATATCAAAATCTCGAGAAATTGAATGAACAATAATATATTTTTAATGACGCCTTATGTCAAGTCATCCGTGACAAAAAAGAAGAAATTATTTAATCCATAAAGTTATGATTTAAAATAAAACGTCAAGGTTCAAAGATCCATTGCTGAGTCTCCTAAGTCACCTGATCTTAGTTCAGTTAATTTTGGGCTTAGGGACTATCTAAAAAGTTGAAAAAATTTTGTACCACAAAGCAGGGAAGATGAATTTTCTTCAGGAAAGAATCTGAACATTATTATGGGACCATTCCAGAAATTACTAAAACGTGTATCCAAAATTAGTTTAACAATTTTGGTCATTTAAATCTACCTAAAATTTCTTTAAACTATCATTTCTTAGAACGTTTAAATATGATTCTTTTTAGTCCCTATGCCAAGTGGATGATTTTCACAGAAGAGCGAGTGCTTGATGTATGACGCATTTCCTTCAAATATGAAGCTGACACATGACCTGCTTCACCTTTAAATTATCGCAGAATTTTTGAAAAATCCGGTTTTTCATTTATTTCGAGATGTGCCAACGCAAAAATTTTCACAGGCACATTTCCTCAAAATATGAAGCTGGTAGATTACCATGAATAATAAAAAATAAATAACATTGGTTATTGCAAAATAAAACCACTAGTAAGTTTATTTATTGACGTTTTGTCATAAGACTGACATTCATTTCAGTTCATGTCACATCCTTGTGGATTAATTTCTTTCATCTGCTCCCACTATAGTAAGTAAATAGACCGTTTTTAAGAAGGTAAGTGGATTTTACCATAGAACTTGCCTCCATAGGGGAAAAAGCGATTTCATGTTATAAATTCATACTTTATGAACAAATAAATAGAAACATTTGATGACAATTACATTTTATTAATTGTTATGAATGAAGATTTAATTAATTATTATGAATGAATATTTAGTAACATTTATAAAATCTAGATAATTATTCCCCTCACGTTTACTAATTGTCACATTTTTCTCAAAATGATTTGACCGCTCAATTTCAGTCACCAGAGGCTCAATATTGTCTGACTGGTCAATTAAAACAGCATGATGCGACGTAGTACTAGAACCTGGAGTTGAAGTGTAATTGTAAAGAATTCTGTTGGCTATGTCATTTTTGGTACTTAAACTGTCAGCAACATAACTTTCTGCAATTGTGGTTGATTTCCACCCACCATGTCTCTTGATTTCTAATACATGATCTCCTGTAACGTTGCTGATGTTATTCGGAATGAATAGCCTGTATATGTTTCAGGATGTTCTAGTTTCAAAAACTGTGCAATCCTATTAGGAATAATAAAAATGGCATTCTTGCCGACTGATTGGTTGTAACATCTACCAGCTCGATAGAGCATAAAAAAGCGTGAAATTTCAATTTTAATTTCCAATCTAATCTTGATATATTTCTTTAGAACTTCTAGGCGAGAAACAGAACCCAGACGAGAAGTAAATGTAAACGTACGTGATATAACCATTTTTGGAATTTGGAATTGTAACTACAATATTCTCATCGAAATTTTTGAAATTGACGTCCAAACTAAGTTTGCATAACTCATCAGAACGGCATGCTCCTGCATTGCCCAAGATCGTCACTACCTTCCTTAGCAAATATGTGTTATCGGGTGCCTGACCGAGAAAATCGTTGACTTGTTCTCTTGTAAAAACGTTTGACTTTTTAGGTGTATAGCCGTCATTCTTACGTTTCAAAAATGCTCTCAGCTTGGGGTATTTTGATATATCCACGTTCTCCTCTATGAAAATAATTGACTTAAACATTGAGTATTCACTCCACAAACTCTCCGGTGACTTTAAAGTTCTTGACTTCTCCATGAAATATGCTAACAGTGACATTTCAGAAACACCAGTCTTTTTGTTCTGGCACCATTCTTTGAAATTTCTATATGTTGGTCCGTAGAGCACTTTCGACTTATCGAGCAATAAAAAGCCGCAGTCAGCATTTGCTGCACTTTGAAAAGCAAGCAAGAAAAGCAAAATCGCAATTTTTATGTAGCTTTGTAAACACCTTAGAATCGACAAAATCCTGTAGGTACACATGTTCGCAAGTGACCCATTTTTAAGCATTACGTCAAGAGCGCTAGCAGGACGCCGCCGGACGCATCAGCGTTGCAGGAAGAGTCTACGGCGGACTGGCGCCGGCGACCAGATGCTTACTCATATACCTACGACCGACTCCACACACAGGGACTCTCCAACGAACACTCACCCCGTCAACACGTCTTTTTCTATACAACTTAGTTTTCAATAAAATACTTTATTATTACCGTTGAGGAAGCGTTTTATTCTTGCTGTACAGCGAAAGCAACCCTCAGTCCAAACAACCAAGGCGACTTTGCAACATTTCGAATAATGTCAAAATGAATTGATTAAGAAATGTCAAAAAATAAAACCTAATCTTCATTTCATGAACCATAAAGAATTGTGGGAGCAGATAAAATGTTATACACCACGCAGTTGTTGAGTATAATTTACCAGTCTCGGACTCTATTGCCAGCCCTCGCTCTGCTCGGGCGCAAAATCGTCCTCGACTGGTAAATGATACTTACCTCCTTTATGGTGCAAATAACTATTTTGTCAATGTCAACCTTTTACTCGTTATTTATTGCGTAATATTTTTCTGGCCACCTGTTGATGATGTACGTTTTCTTCTCAACATAAATAATATATTCTAATCCCTTCTTGTTACTGTAATTAATTAGATAATGATGAGGCTTCAAAAATGTTTTTTATTTTATTTAACTGCTAGTACAAAATCTACTGTTTTTCAATAATTTGCCTTAGTTACGGCAGGCCGTAGGCGATCTTATAAATAGATAAATTTTCTAAATAAAATTAAGTAACAAGACAATCAATACACCACCCTGTAATTATATCTTACTTTTCGTAACAGATTGGGTGGGAGAAATTCAGAAGAGCGCATATTTCTTGACAGGCAAAAAAAATCAGTCTCTGTACACTTTGTTACAAATAATTACTTACAAACATGTAAACGTCGCCACTTTGTCTGAAATCAGGTATCTAGAAGTAGACTCCGCTATTTCCGTTTTTTAACTTAATTGCATCTCAAAACATAACGCAACTCAACACGCATTGGTATTGTTATGTTTTCAAAAAGGATATTGTAAAAGAAAACCCTGTCAAGTCCATTACCAATTCCCTCGCGCAACTTTCGAGCCCAGGCTATAATTATCGGTTATTAATTCTTTGTCCTTGACGTTTCTGGTTAACAAAAAAAAAGAAGCATTTTGAATAGCTGGAAACGTTTGGTCGGTCCCCTGTCCACCAAGGTTACGTATACGCTGACCCGTGGTTTGGTCAGCGGAAGCACGCTGTATAAATCTCGCACAGTATAGGATCATACTGGCTATATTTACCATTTTACTGCATGTTTGCCCTCCCGTTTGGTCACTTCAGTTTGGTACCTGCAGCAGTCGAGGTGACAGGAAACTCTTCTTCAATTCCGCTGCACGGTGACCTTTGCGTAAAATTCATGTGCTGCCGATAGTTCAGTGCGTGCCAACTCGATCTCAACTTTCTTGCCATGGGACAACACAAGGTAAGAACCGTTTGTTTATTTGTTTTTTTTAACAGAACTGTGATTTGTAGTACTTTTTGGCCTGGGCCAATATTTCAAAAAATAATCAGTAGATGAGAAAATGGAGTGCCATTTTCTTGTTAATATTTTAGGCACTAAAACGGGTTTTAAATAATTTATAAGTAACTTTCTTTATTTGAAAAATGCATATTTAAAAAAAATTGCCCTAAAGCGTGCAAACTAAAAATTAAGAATAAAAAAATAATAAATAAAGAAGGTATAAAAAAATAAAAAGTAATTACAAAAACTGATAAAGATGCAGTTAATATTAAGACCAACTATTTTTTTCTAAAAAATATATTTTTTTGTTCGGCTGAAGCTGCAAATTTTTTGGACTAATTAGGTATACAGGGTTATTCACTTTTTATGATTAGGACTTTAACCATCGATAGATCTCGTCAAAATAATGTAATTTTGAAGTATACACTTTTTCTTCTAAAAGAAGGAAACGGACGCCTATGATTGATCTATTTTCACAATAATTTGTAAAATTGATAGAGCTTTTCATTCATACACTTCGTACTAAATATAAATCAAATGGCTTTCCTAGTTTAAGAAAAAAATAATAAAAATGAAAAAAAAAAATTATTTTCAAGAGCTTATAGCTCTAAAAGGAAGCCTTTGGTAGAAAAAGTGTATACTTCAAAATAACATTATTTTGACGAGATCAATCGATAGATTGGTAGTCCTAATAATAAAAAGTGAATCACCCTGTATATTTCTGAAATGCTTTTTTCTAAGTCCTATCATATGGCAAATATCCAATACAACTGCTATTAAAAGACAGCATTTATAACTGAAAAACAATACAATCTGGATTCGCGATGAATTAGCTCCAAAAAAATACCCTAAGAATATAAAAATTAGTCAAATCAACACGTATCACTTTATAGAAGATTTAAGTTTTAGTTTTCCTCAAATTTCTCAAAATGTATGAAGTAAATTTTAGAAGTACTTGAATTTGTTGTAAAAGTCTATAGGTATGTCTTATCAGATATCAATAATAATGCGCCAAATTTGGATTCGTCGATAATTATAGATAATTTTCATTATAAGCACTTCTAATAGAAAACCCAATATTTTATGATCGTGTTTCAGTTAAGAAAATTGAAAGTAACTATGTCGGATTTAATAATTTAAGAGAATGAAATTTACGTATAAAAACATGAAGATAAGGGCATTATAGTCTGTTTAGAAATGAAAGAGAGTAATAAAAGCTCATTATGTATGCAAATCGTAAATAAATGTAGTACTGGTGCTTATATTCAATATTTTTATATTATGTATTTTCCGTATAGATGAGGTCTACTTTTAACAAAACTTTGTGCGATCGGACTATACTAAATTGTAGCAGGTAGCTAAAATTTAATCCCCGACAATCCGTCTTTGTCTATGCCGCTTCAATTTCTCGGTCCATTTCTCTTATAAGTAAACAATATAAAAACAGCATTTCAAAACATGAGGCTACTTTAAGCATCATAACCGGGTTAAGAGGGTTTTTAGTAATTCAAATAAAATTATTCAATATTATTATCAAAATATTTATTTAAATTTAATGAATAGACTTTTATTCCACACAAAAATATATGTATTTTGAAAATTCAAATTATGGTGAGTAAATGTAGTGTTGTATAAATGTACAATAAAGAAAATAAAAAAGTAGGTATATTAAAATTCATCCTCTGAATATTCTGATGAATTATCTTCGTCTCCTAGATTGATAACGATAGGTTCCACAGTAACGTCAATTAAATTATCGAGTTCCCACATTTTCTCCTCTTCTTTTTGTACATGATGTATACATCTTTGCCAGTTATCTGCAGTTACTCGTTCCAAGGAATTTTTTAACAAAATTTTCACGTCACTTAATTTAAACGTCGTATTATTTCGCGCTACATCTCCTTTTACCTGCGCCCAGACTAATTCGATTGGGTTAAGTTCACAGTGATAAGGTGGTAACCGTAGTACCGTTATTTGGCGATTTGTTGCCATTTCATCGATAACATATTTTTTCTGATCTTTATTAAGATTGACAAGTGTCAAAAGTTCCTTTTTCACCATATTTGTTTCAAAAGAAATGTTTTTTCCGGATAACCATTGAATTATATCGGCTTTCCTCCAAGCAGTCGTAGGCGTCCGCTCGGTCTGCCGTGAATGGTAACTGGCATTATCCATGACAATTACAGACCCCGGAGGAATAAGATCCAACATCTGTGTAAAATACTCTTCGAAAACATCTGCGTTCATGTCTTCGTGATAGTCACCTGTATTTTTAGATTCAAATAAAAGTAAACCGCCATCTACAAAACCACTGGCACTACCTATATGTGTCACTATTAATCTTCGCCCTTTACCTGAAGGTGCCTTGAACCCTGTTGAAAGTCCATCCAAAAATGCTTGTCGAAAACTTTTTACATTTTTATCTTGCCATACTTTTGTTACAGTATATCCCTCGTTGACCCAAGTTTCGTCTAGATAATAAATATTCCTCCCTTCGTCACGGAATTTTCTAATTGATCTTAAGTAGGATCTTCGCCAACAAATAATTTCATCTTTATCGATAAGAACTGACTTCCTGTTCTGCTTTTCCCAGCAAAAATTCAACTCTCGTAAGACGGCCCATAATTTGCTTCTACTGATTTTTGGCAAATCGTTGTCCTCTGAAAGTTCACTTAAAATTTTGTTTAGCGTTGGTATTTCTTTTTTAAAATAAAATGAGTGTACATTAGTCACTAAACACAAGTCGAATTTTACTCTACTGCACTAGCACGTCTTCGTATATTCAGCTCTAAGACTGGATTGATCTGTCACAATACACTGGCTCCTGCCCTACAATGTATCCAGTAAAATATACTAATGTACACCCATTACCTGTTAGCATTAGTGTTACCCGATAATTACCTGAAACGAAATATTAGCACGCCCATGGCCGGTTCTTATCTCGGGGTTTTATTACTCTCTTTCATTTCCAAACAGAGTATAGTAGTTCTGTACTTTTACACTCATTAGGCTAAAACATTAAAATACATGAATCTAATAGACAAAGTTTCCTTGAAAACTTCTAAAAATATATATACCTTATTTCTTCTCTCCGTTTTCTGTTACATTTTTATAAAGTATTTTTGTTTAGATATGCGTTTTTTCTTGAAATAATAACCTTTGGAAGATCAGACACTATGAATAGATCTTTGCCACGTCATTTTTTATTAAAGCAGTTATTTAGTTGAGATATTACGGAGGCTTTTTTCGTAGATTATATCAACTCTCGTCTTAGCTGCAATCACATCAGGTTTGATGAGTTCATCATCATTTTTTTTTGTTGTTTACACAAAAAATGTTAAACATTTTAATTTTATACCACTTATGAGTGTCTAATTAGGTAATTTTTAACAGACTGCTTGTTATCCAGGATGGAAGTAATATTTTTGTACTTTGAAAGAAAAAATGTAGACAATACATAGTAAAAATATTATTTCTATAAATATTTTTTAAGCTAACTAATTTTTCGATGGAATTTTTACTTTCGAGGCTTATTATTAATTTTTTTATAGATAACGTTTAATATTATTATGTCTTTTGAAACTACGAAATAATAATATGGCATCCTCTTTACAGTAACATCCGTTTTGTGGGAAATTTTGCTATGTTTGTATCACACATTAAATCGCGTTGATGTGAGTATTAGCGTGTTTCCTATTTTATTTGACTGCTGAATATACCATTTATTCACCTGATAAAGTTGTTTGAATTATGTAAAGTATATAACGGGAAAATCTGTACAAAGGTTTAATCAGCTAGAAGTGTACGTAATTTTTTTGAAAGTTTTGTTCTTAAACTCATTTTTTTGTTTTTATTAAAATTTGTCGCACACTATGTTCTGATAATAATTTTATTTCACAATATCGATCAAGAGGGCACTAATTTAAAATTTCCTTAAGTATTGCTAGTGTACCCACGACTCCCTAATGTCGACGCCTATGTATATAGATTGTATTAAGTTTACAAAAGTATAACGACCTATTCTAATAAGTGTTCCGTGACTAGGAAGAATTAACAACATATAACATTGTATCGCTATAAAAAAATCACAGCTCCGTTTATTTTGATGTTCTGAAAATCAGTACCTACTTCGACTTTGCCTAAAGGCGCAGCCGAACCAACACGATGTCGAGAATGGCAAATTACCTACGGCCTCATATGGAAGTGCATAGCACTGCTGTAGGAGCTTGTTTGGTCGTATAGTGATTTTAATTAACAAAAAGTTCTTCAGACGGTGCGCGGTGTCTGAATTAAAATATTTCGAGTTAAATGTAACTTAAATACAAGAGAGGATTGTATAATTTGAAAATAGTACGTTTTTCTACTGTTATGTTGGCTGAAATTGCAATATTTTTTCTATTTTAATTATGATATTTTTTACACGGAACATAATCAACCTTTCAAATTTGATATTTCTGGTGCATATACAGGGTGCTCCGCCTAAGAGGGATTCTTCTGTAACTCTGTAACTGCCAAATTTATAAAAAAAATGGTTTTAATAAAAGTTGTCTGGAATCATGTGGACTATGTAAAGAAAATTTTTAGCTTTAGAGGGTGTTCCATTTCGCTACATAACTTTGTTATTTTAAATGAAACACTCTGTATATTATTGCGTTTTTGAATTCCTTGGTTGATATTCCACCATATATCGCGTCTGGCTTATTTTCTGTTTTGTACGTCATAAAAGTATCAACTGTTGTATTATAACAAACTACCTGAGGCACTACAGCAACCTGCATGCTACCGTTTCCATATATTGTCTCATCCAGTTCAGTTTTAAGGTATAATGGAGATGTAGTGCAGTTCTAGAGTTTGTTGTTCTACTTCGGAGCTTTTCACATTCATCTTAATTCTGGAACTTCTGGTGCTCGAATGAAAATCATCGAATGAGTTTATTTGTACGATGCGTTATTATTGAAGGGGTACTTGTTTATTTTAACACAAGTTTAAAGTTTGCTCGATTATTTTGTTATAAAAGGAAACGAATTATAGACGTGATCGTTGAATAACTTCGTAACGAAACTTACTTCTACTTGAGATTTTAAGTGATGTCTAACTTTGCGATACAAAGTGATTATTACTATTTTTGTTACGACAGCTGTTTGAGTGTATACTTAAAAGTAATTCATCAATATACAACGCAAAAATGAATTTTATTTAATTTATTCTAAGGTCTAATAGCCTGCAATTATTGTTGAATGATTTATAATTCACATTAAATTAATAAAAGAAATAACGCATTAATAAATATCAGAGTTCTTGTTATGAGACAGGTTTGGCAAGATCCAAGATATTAATTAAGTAGTCTCGTCAGTATACTCCGAGTTTATAAATACAGTTCCTTTTTTTTAAATAAAAAAAGAGTTATTATTTTAATTAATTAAAATTACATATTATATTATTATAATTCATCATGTTAGAAGCATTAGTGAGAAATAGTTCAGTTATTAGTGTAATAAATCACTTTAGTAGGTATAACGTAGTTAATATCTTTAGTCATTTTATTCTTTTTCGATTATATTTTCAATATATTCTTTTATCTGCACGCCCTTAAGTAACAAGACAAAAAATTGTATTTTACTTTAAGTTATGAGGTTAACATTAAAATATATAGTTTGTTTGATTATAAAGGTCCCGAGCTATAACTCGATTACCCATTTTTAGACACCTTGCCTCATCCAGAATCCTCATCCAGGGTATCTCACGGTGACGGCCCATTAGAATTATTTCAGACTACTTCGATTTGAATTTTGAAAATTTGGGTTACCGGGTTTTCGGGCATGCCCTTTTCAACTAAAATAATGGCGTCCACGTACCACTTCCGGTTATACCGGAAGTCGCCATCAACTTGCTTATTTTAAATGGAACACCCTATATATTATTGCAATTTCGAATTCTACGTGTTATTTTAGGTAGACTTTTATGAAGTTTCCCTATTCCTAAAATTAACCGTTTTCGAGATAATTTAATTTTTTTCAAAAAACTAGAGAGAAACAGTGACTAGCTTCAAACCATGTGTATTTTTTAGTAAGAAAGATAAAGCAACAATATTTATAGAGGGGATAGTTAGACCTCTAAGCTTCCCATCCATACTTTCAAAGTGGCTTAATTGCATACAGGGTGCTAGAAATTTAATGCCGAGTTTAGTTAACTTCAAACCTTCATCAGTCGGTTTTTTAAAAGGAACACCCGTTTTCCTATATTCAGATACACATTTTTATTCTCTTTCGAACGGTATCAGGGTTCCCTATACCTATCTCTTTTAATTTTTAAGTTATCTACTATTTTTGTGTAATCACTTAAAATCATGTAATTTCTTGCGAGGATAGCTGTGGAATTTTTAGCAAAACTTCAAAACAAACAACTAAACTGTCAATTTGTTATTAGTATCGCAGTAACAGTTTAATTTAGTGTATAAGAAATGGAAAACAATACATATTCAAATGCTGATATTTTAAATTTATTATTCATTCACGGACGTTGCAATGGGATTATAAGCAGAACATGTACAGTTTTTAATCAGACATATCCAAATTTCCCACCAATGAGCAGAAAAAAGTTAAGAAGAATTTTAGCAAATCAACTAGAATATTGTCGAATTTGCGCAGAAGGAATTTTACCAAAACCAATAACTTCAAATGAAGATAATGTAATAAATGTGCTAGCCTATTTTAATGTTCATCTAGAATCCTCAACTCGTACCGCAGAGTATGATTTAGGCATTTCACGAGCGTCCATTCACAGGATGTTAAGAACTAATGATATGCATCCATACAAATTTAAGCTACTCTCTGCTCTTCATCTGGGTGACGCCGTGCAACGTGTACAATTTTGTGAAACGATGTTAGTGCGATATCAAGAAAATCCACAATTTTTGCAACATATATTGACAGACGAGTCAACATTTACGAGAGAAGGTATTTTTAATAGACATAATACTCATTTGTGGTCATCTGAAAATCCTCATGTTATCCGGGAAAGAAACTTTCAAAATAAATTTAGCTTAAATGTTTTTTGTCTAATTAAAGATAACCAAATTTCTTACCATATCTACGAAGAAAATTTAAATGCTGACAGATATCTCAAAATTTTGCAAACGGTTGTGGCAGATTTTCTAGATGATATACCTTTAGACCAACTAAGGAAGTGTTGGTATCAATTAGACGAGGCTCCACCTCATTGTCACAATCAAATCTATCAACAGCTAACTGAAATGTTTGAAGATAGATGGATGAGACGCCTAGGACCGTGGAATTGACCAGTGAGGTCTCCCGACCTCACTCCATTAGATTTTTATGTTTGGGGAGTAATAAAGCAAAAATTGTATTCTACACCCGTTGCTTCAAAAGAGGATTTGATTGCTCGAATACGAAGAGCGTACCATGAATTGCCTGCAGCTGAAATAGCAAAAGCGGTGACTAATGGTGTTATCTCTAGGATCCACAAGTGCTTAGCTGTTAATGGGGGTCATATTGAACACTTATAACTTTTTTAAGTCATCTTTTTTATCTTAGTGCATTATTATTATTATTAACATACATAATTAAAATTGTGTATTACTAAGTATGAAGTTGATTTTTTAAAATTCTTCTTAACTTTATTCTGCTCATTGGTGGAAAATTGGGATATGTCTCATTAAAAACTGTAAATGTTCTTAGAATCCCATTGCAACGTTGTTTGTTTTGAAGTTTTGCTAAAAATTCCACAGCTATCCTCGCAAGTAATTACATGATTTTAGGTGATTACACAAAAAATAGTAGATAACTTAAAAACTAGAAGAGATGGGTATATGGAACCCTGATACCGTTCGAAAGAGAATATGTATCAGAATATAGAAAAACATACAGGTTGTTCCATTAAAAAAAAACGACTTATGAAGGTTTGAAGTTAACTTAACTCGGCATTAAATTTCTAGCACTCTGTATGCAATTAAGCCACTTTGAAAGTATGGATGGGAACCCGGTATCCCAAATTTTCAAAATTCAAATCGAAGTAGTCTCTGAAATATTTCTAATCGGCCGTCACCGTGAGACACCCTGTATATACAGTGCGTTCACGATGAAAGAAACAAATTCGTTTAAAATTCTGATAATTGTTTTGTGGAAAAACGCTCGGACACGTCGATTAGTATATTTAGTTGTGGATTTTTTGACATAAGAAAATTGTATACAGGGTGTCTTGTCAAAATCCGGAACTAAAAATACTAATCGACGTGTCCGAGCGTTTTTCCCCAAAATAATTACCTGAATTTTAAACGAGTTTGTTCCTTGCATCATCAACTCACTATTTTTTAAATGGGATTTGCTTTATACCGAAGCACAATTTTTTTTATGTCACACTATAGATGACTGGTGACGTCATCGATATTTTAGATAGATTATTTCCTGATACTCTGTACAGGTTGTTAAACTATACTGAACCACACACCTTTTTTTTAGGCCAACCAATGGTACGCAAGCACCATCCTCTTAATGCTGTTCGGCTTGGAGTCAATCAACTCTGCCACTGTCAAAGACATTTTCACTCCTGATTCTCCACTTACGCGGGTTCCAAGAGAAACCAGCTACCCGGACAGGTACAGTTCATCGAGTTCCAGCGACAAGAGCATACAACCCGAGGAATCCCCAGAAGCAAGACGAGACCCCCAGAACCTAGGGAAGAGATGCATCCGTTGCGATTCCGGTTATTTGGACAGATACCCGTCTGACACGTATAAATACGAAGGTAGAGGCGGAACCTACGACAGATACAATGACCGCGATAGATCCTACGACAGATACGAAAGAGAAAGATACCCCGACAGGGAGAGATACTACGACAGGTACGAGAGGTACCCAGAGAGATCTAGATACTCCGAGGACGACAGGTACTCTGAAAGGGACAGATACTCCGAACGAGACAGGTACGGCTCGTACACCGACAGATCTAGGGATAGATATAGCGGCTATTCCGACAGATACTCCCCCTATGAGAACCGCGATAGATACGATAGGTACGACAAATACGAAAGGAATGAGAGGTATCCGGAGAGGGGTTCGGGGTATGATAACAGGGGCTACGAGAGAGACGGGTACAGACCTTGGGATGAGACTTACAGGGGCAGTTCAGGGTTTGACAGCGCTGGACGGGGCTACTACTTCGCTTCCGGTAGGCCTGAGTACGGAGCTACTAGCGGGTACGGTAGTTACGGGGGAGGAGGTTATGCTAGTGGATGGAATTATGGAAGTAGTGGGAGCGGAAAGGATGACTACAGGGATAAGGGGTGAGTTTTGTATATGCTAAAGAAATTGTATTCCCTTTTAGGCAAGGGTGTCACCAGCCAATAGGCTAGGTAGTCCAGTCAATGACCATTTCCCGTATAATTTTGTCAAACAGCACCGATTTTCATAAAAATTTGGATTTACGTTCTACTTACCATCTACTTCAAAGTTGACCTTGTACCGGGGGTTGCTTTTACCCTGGGGGTGGATGCCACCACTTCTCGTGCTGAAAAATGTTAATTTTAAGCAACTTTTGTTCTATAAAGTTTTTTCTGAAAGTCAATACTTTTCGACTTATTCGCGAGTGAAAGTATAATTTTTTTAACCAAAAAAAAAAACAGACGGTTTTTCACGAATAACTAAAAAAGTATTTTATCAAAAAAAAATCATTCTTTTAAAAAACGTAGCTTATAAAAAAAACAAAAAGAATGGTGTATTTATGGTGTCTGTAGACCCAATACAAGCGGAGTAATAGCTTGTTGAAGGTTGGTTCTTATTCGTCAAAAGCCAAAATTGAAAGTTGGAACCTGAAATAACCAAAAACCAATGCATTTTTCAGGGAATACTCATAGAACCAAAGTGCTTGAAAAAGCCTTTATTTTTATACTATTTTATAAAAGTCCCTAGCATCAAACCTAAGCGAGTTACGACGAAAATAACGTTGGTCTGTATTTTTTCGGCAACAAAAAACGTGTAAATCACCCCCTAATTACCAGCCCAATTGAAAATAATCGTTACCACTTTACAATTTACTTTATTTATGTACTTGTAATATGCTCTAGAAGTTTGACAGGTTTGAAGTGCTTAGTTTTGAAAAAAGTTGAGCTTGAAGTGAAAAGAAAATTTTTATATTTTTAGAAAAGATTGTCTTTTCTTCAAAATAACTCAAAAACTATTAATGATACGCAAAATTTTGTAGAGTACAAAACTGTAAGTTTTGCTTACAAAACCCTTACAAAAATAAAGGCTGAAAGAAAATGTAACTTATATGATCTTATAGCCCTTGAAAAAACCTACAAAATGGTTTTTTGAAGGGCTTGATAGCATAAATATTAAGCGAGTTATGGGTAAAAAACCAATCACATATTTTTGCATTTATAGCTATATTTTAGGAATAGAAATAGGAATTTTAGGAATAGAATAGAAACGGAAGACGAGACTGAAGAGGATTTTTGATTATTTATATGGTATTTGCAATAAAAAAAAGTTTGTTATAAAAATAAAAAAATTTAAATCCATATAAAAATAAAATTCTTATTTTTCCATATCTTTGATTGCAAATTTTAATCAGTAGGTTTTTTTTAAGGTTTGAAAATAAATAATACATTACATTTTAAATAATAAAAAGATTGTATTATATTTTGAACTAAAAAAATTTTTTAACTATAATTGTTCGATTTTTTGCAATGGGTGGTTTTTATAAAGCGTTAGTCAAATTGATATACTGGGTGATAGTCTTCTCCGGTTACCTCTCCCTTTTAGAGATCAATGTGAATATACAGTCAAACGTTGTTGGTGAAATTTGCGGACACCCTGTATAGCTTTAGTTGCACCGTTAAACTTTTATTCTGATTCCGATAAATAAAAATTTATTTTTTTTTTAATTTAGAATTCCAGTTAAATTTTTAAAATATGGAAATATGTATGTATTACTTTTTAACATGAAATTTTATATTTTTAAATTATTTTGTCAACAAATATTTATACTAATTTATTACAATTGTTTTTTAAAAAAATAAAGTGTATTAATTTTCAATTTTCAAAATTAAAGTTTAAGTACCTACCTAAATAAAATATTTTATTAAAAATTCCCCATCTAATATTTTCTTAGCTTAAGAAAATTTTTATACTTTTTTCGAATTTCTAGCCCCCCCCCTGGTCCCCCTTGGCGACGCCCTTGCTTTCAGGGTAACATTATAAATTGTTCTTAATAAAGTAAGAAAACAAATCTATATTTCACAGTAGAAGAATCGAAAAAAATTAACGTTTAACATGAACTAATATTACATACAAAAAATATATTATTTGGTGCATAAAAGTAGTGTTATTAAATGGGATAGAGATAAAAAACCATAATTCTTGAGTGTCTTCTTATTTATTAGCAGAGACTTCCCTACTTTACTTTCTTATTCAAACATAATCATCGCTTTTACGTTCCACATAGCGACACCTTGAACAAAATAACTAATAATAAATTTGGTAATATCAAGAGATTTTCACTAAAATTGTAGCATAAAGTTAAAAATTATTAAAAAAAATTTAGATTTTCTACCTACCTACCCCTATAGAAGCGTTTGGAGATAGTTGCACATTTCACTCAAATAACAATACCACGAAAACTAAATGAGATATCAACAATCTAAGAACGTATGGAGATAAATTAGGGGTCTGTATTCTTTCCGCTATAATAAAAACTGAACTATTTTCTGATCCATCCATCCATCCATACCATTGAGGTATTATAAAATAAGGTATTATAAAATTATGTATCAACCTAATTTGGTTTATCCAAAAAGCCAAATTTCGCCATCCATCATGTCTAGATACATATTATATAGGCTACTACTTGTTTCCCGGCGTTTCTTTTTACCACCTCGCAGAAAATTGAATAAAAGAACCAGGCCAACTGATTTATACGCCACGATAAAAATCCCTTTTCACGGCTATGCTGATAATTAGAAGCTTCTTAATAATCAAAATATCCATTTAATCATTTTAAGTGAAAATATCTCAAATACGTTTTCCATAATGTCGTCTGTAATTATTTATCTACGCTGTTTGTTGTTATATTTATTTGATTGGATGTTTCTACCACACTGAAAAGGATTTTTTTTATTTTTGAATAAATAACAGCAGCGAATAGCATTTGAAAGTAATATTTTTTGGTAGGAAATAAAAGTTATGGAAAAATAACCGTTAAAGTATCATAGGATCCTACATTATTATTTTTTTGAGTAGACTTACCACCCCATTTTATTACTCCAAATACCCTGTATATTTGTTTTGATAAATATAATTAACCCTTGTAATTTCTTTATTAATTTTCCGTTTACATTTATGCTGCATGACTAATAGCGGTAACAACATATACAGGACTGGAAAATCCACATGGTCCATCTGCCTTTACATGAGAGTGACAAAGTAAAGTAAAGAAATCCGTGCGATAGACAAGGATGGCTATAGTGAAGACGTTTCATAATCTGAATAGTCACCGGGCGGTGACTATTCAGATTATGAAACGTCTTCAATGTAACCATCCTTATCTATCGCACGGATTCCTATGACTTACTTTATCGCTCTCACGTAACGGCCGATATACCATGGGGACTTTCCGAACCTGTATACTAAATATACACGTCACCTTGGTAAATACTCACGACTCGATATTCCTAATAGAATCAATTTTCCAGAATTACTCTTAATTTAACCAATTTACCATTTACAGAAGGCAATTTCTCGTGGGAATAACATTAAATTATTGAACTGTGCCCTTTGGCATTATTCCATTTATACGTATTGTGCCTAGTTGATTACTTATATCCTTGGTATTAAAACAATGGAAATGGATTTCCACTGGTCCAAAATTTCAATTTATTGAAACCGAGATTGTCTTTTGTTCATCGTTAAAAATGTTGTATTATTTTAACACTAAGTATATTACTTTCCTAGGAATGGTACTTCAAAAAATGTATTCAAATAAACAGAAAATAAAACTAAAATTATATCGCAAATAAATAATAATTTGTAGTAATTTAATAATATATAAACAGTTGTTTTTAGATATTATTTATTTTTTGCTAAAAATAAAAATAAAAAATAGTCGGAATCGATTATAAGCAAATTTAAAAATGTAACTATGTACTTCTCTGTTATTATGCTGTATTATATAAAGCAGAAATTGTAGGATATTTTACACAAGGAATAAAGCTAATGGAGTTTACATATTTTATATTCGTTTTCAGTTTAGTAATTTAAACAGATGCATTTTACCTTTAACTCTTAATACCTATTATATTTTAAAACAGCTCCGGAACATTTGCTTAATTCAACTTGAAATTTGATTTTTCAAATGAATGTTTGATGAGAGCAAAGCGAACAGTTAGTAATTATAACGATGTTTTATATGAAAATTGATATCCGAAATAATGTTGATTGTGGCAGTATTTCGCGCTTGAAGGCACTGCATACATACATTGTGCTTTGACTTGAGATACAGTCTTCATAAATGCTTAAAAGTTATCTGACCACCGAGGTTAGGCAACCAACATAGCACGGCTGGTACTGTCAACTAAATATCCCTAAATCTTAACGTCATCAATATTAATGATGAACAATAACAAACCTTTACTTAAGTAAACATACTAAAGCTAATAATAATATATGTTAAATAAATGGGACACTGGGTTTTTAAGTGGTAGAATAAGGCTAATTAGCCAGATTTTTCATAAAAAAAGCAATATTTTCCGGAAAATTGCTAACAAAACACAGCCACTCAAAAATAAAAAAGTTGTCTGTATTTTTTATGCGACATATGTTATCCGTAGTATTTTTGCCCGCTGATCACGAATCCGGTGTCAGAATTGAGCTTTCACATCACAGGAATTTCCTAACCTCAAAAAACAGGTCAATTAAGGCCAGATATACCGAATTTTCAAAATATAACAGATTCGCGCCAAATTTGGTATACGGAGGTTTTCGGGGTCGCTGATTACGGATCCGAGGTCAATTTTGCAAAATTCAAGATGGTGGATCCAAGATGGCCGACCAAATTTTCCAAAAATAACCCATTCGCGCTAAATTTTGTTTACGAGGATTTACGGGGTCGCTGATCACGGATCCGAGGTCAATTTTGCAAAATTCAAGATGGCAGATCAAAAATGGTCGAACAAATTTTCAAAAAATAACATTCGTGCCAATTTGCTAAACGGGGGGTTTCGAGGTCGCTGAACGCGGATCCGAGGTCAATTTTGCAAAATTTAAGATGGCGGATCCAAGATGGCCG